CCAATTTCATGTCAAGGAAGTCATTTTCTGTTATGATGTATTCTGTCTGTATCACACATTGTTGTTTTTCGTATTACTACTTGGAATGTATATTGATGAACTGCCTATTGATCGCAGCGTGGTGCTCTATGCAATGGATAATCTGGTCTCCACTGATTTCGCTTAACAGCGGCACATTCACTCGTTTCGCCCTAGCGCAAATACAACTCAGAGGATTAGGCTGTGCATTGGCTTATTTGATCTCCAAAGGTCAAGGTCTGGTCAAGGTGTAAAGTGCAAGTTCATGCCACTCGGGTACCTGGCCAACGTTCACGGTCACACCGTGTGATCACTCTTCACACGTCAGCGCTGTGGCGTGTGACGACTCGTGTGACTCACACGAGTCATCTAGAGGACCGACAGCAATCCAGGATAGGCACCACAAGAAAGCCGACTTTATGACGCATTCAGTGGTGATGTTGTTGCCATACATGAGCATATCGCTTTATGCTGAGGCACATGGGATTTAGCACTCCATGGTGAATCTACATCGCAAAAACAACACCAGCATTCAATCCTTCGTAAATCAGCTTCGTATCAATGACTTTACAGCATAATTTAGTTTTAGTGAAGCCTCGATCTTAATTGATCTTTGATCTTATTTGCCTCACGTCATTTCCAGCATTATAATTTTGATGTTGCATGATGGCGGCATGGTCGCTCGTGCCATTCATCTAATCTGAACAGCTTTCGTGCCTAAAAATGTTTCCACGTGGCTGATAAATTGTATTTGTATGCTATGTTTAATGTGCATTTTCATTACGTAGTTGTATATGGTTATTCAGTGGAATAGATAATGCAATATACCTACAATCTAAACCTTAAAATCTGCAATAGACTATCTACAACTACATAATCAAAAGTATTTTTGCTACAAACTCAAAACGCCGTAAATTTCGACTCCTCGGATGCCCTGCAATGACTGAAAATCATCTGGTTGGATATAAAGTGAAACAATCTCCTGTTACAAGTGCATGCAATACCGCTCTAAAGAAAGATAACATTTTGTAACATGCGACAGAGATAAGACGTTTGTCCTATTCGCAAGGCATGTCAATAACTTTCAAAGTATCGTTTAAGACCAGAGCGGTGTGATGCATACATATGAGCGATTAAACATTTGATAATTTATTACCACCATAGGAAACCTAAACAGTCACGCAGAACACATTTATGGCACAGACTTTTTCCACCCGTCATACATATATTCATCCAGAGCTTTTTTCATCACTGGTGATCAAGGGTAATACGAGCCTGCTATCTGAGCCGGGTTGAGAGTTTGCTTTCTCTATTCATCACGGTTCTTTAGTCACTCGGATTCCGGTGCTTACATCAAATCGCATTGGCATATCACTCATTAAGGAAGAGGCATCGCTTTTTGCTGGTTGGCAGAGATAGTACCTGCGTGGCTGATGGGAGGCACTGGCAGGTAAGTTCTGCACATCTGTTGCAAAGTTGCCTAGAAATTACCAACAGTAAAGTCGTATCGTGTAAATGCATTGCGCTGCATTGAACACAATGTCGGCATCTGGGTTGTATATATCGACACTGTATTCATGTCGAATGCACGCGCAAGGTCTCTTGTCTGGTCCGTGAATAATGAATGCGAGTTTCATGGTGGGTAGATAGACCGTCCTCATAAACGTATCTTACATCGCAATTTGCGGTGTCCTCAAGTTCTAAAAGATGCAATCAAATGTTAACGTTATAGATAAGACAATACTGCTAGCCTTATTCATCGTAGAATAATCAGGTGAAAGGAGTATTCAAACCAGGGGAAAGATGCATTGATACTTTGGCTGCCAGCTTTCACCAAGAACGATTATCAGTAGTTATTCTAAAATTGCCTACCAATCCCACTCGATTTCTTAAGTTTTTTTTAAAAACAGGAAACCATATTATTTACAAATCACAAACATTCAACGATTACGAATGGAGCAATAGCCATCTGCTACTACGGTACAGTGTACATCTAGCTGAGATGCTATTATCCTGCAAATTACACGAAACGTTATATAGCACGTTATATAGCACGTATAGCACGTTATATAACGTTATCCAAACGGTGCGGCGCAGCCGCGCCAGTGTGCATAATCATAGACAATGAAATAGTGGGTCTTATGGCGCGCATTTAGATGTACCTTGCAAGGTCGCTCACCTACGGCAGGTCAAATTCGGGCAACAGACTAAGCGGAGACAATTTCTAAGGAATCATTCAATCTCATGCAGCAACGGAGTGTTAGACGAAGCCATACATCTTTAACACAGTTTCTTAGGCAACACAACAATTTCATGAACAGATTTCGCTGACCTAGGTTCGTATATGCAGGTCAGACCAAGGTCAAAACGAAGCTGTTTTATTACTGTAGAGCTTGTTGTGTGGAGTAGGTTCTGATCGTCATTTTTAAGTTATTGATAACATGAACCACATTATGCACCCTCCATGAACTTTTTTAAGGTCAGGATATGTCACTGACCTAAACTGACAAACGAGTCAAACAAGGTCACTGCCCTTAGATGAACGCGACCTTTTGCTTAGAACAGCTTTCTAAGTTTTGGGGGCACTTTGGACACCAATTTTGAGTTTGGTCTTGGTTGACTTTACTTCAACTAAAAGCCATGACCTAGGAGCTCCACATTTTGACACAAGTGAGTTCGCATCAAGGCAAATGCACCCTGTGGATTTACTACACCTAGTTCTCTTGCTTGCCGAGATCTCAGGGAGTGAAATTGACCCCCATTCGGGGAAGGGTACTGAACCGGCCACCCAGGCGCGTGTCAACATATAACGTAAATGAGGGAACTTTTATATTGGTTACGTCATCCTTTTCCAAACTCATCAGTGCTTACTTTTTCTGTTTGACAGATGTGACTGCGATTATATAAGCACAATATGCAGGGAACGCTGAGCAGCATCAACCCGCTGGAGGCAGGCTTGACATGCCATCTTCCAAGTATACTCTTCGGCCCAACAGCCCACCCCGTCGCACAATGTCCTCTGCATTTGCAGAAAACAAGCTTTTACAGAAAATAGAGAAATAAATCTTCATTTACAGTCGCTTTAAAGGGACGATTTCCTGTTTCAGGGCTGTTTTTATAAAGGTCTGACGTTTCCTTCGTCGGGAGTAGCGCTTAGAGGGAGTGCGACAACTTTGTGTACTTTTGTCTCCTAGATCAGCTGCATCCTCCTTAAAAGCACTCCTCAGCGTTATCACTGGAGATGTCTGGTGCTGAGAGCTGGTCCAGAGGATGGCCTATGAGGTTTTGCCTCAAATGCAACACATTGCATGTTTCCCGTTTGAAAATATTATAGCCGCATCAGCTATGATAAACATAGGCCCCCTTATAGCTGTTGGTACACAGACTGGCTTTTGACAACATGATTTCTCCCATTCAATAATATGTTCGCCATTACGTCCTGACAGCGTCATGGACGTGCGTATGTGTATAACAGCACCCACTTTTGGCTCTTCAATCTTCCTAGCGATGCCAGCATGAGACGGAAGTGCTCACTGAGCCAAATATCACTATGTGCTCGTATTTGTCCCTTTCTCATGATGTTCTTGCATATTCATCCGCAAGTTTAAGATGTTTACTTGCATTCACATACTCAGGTATACCGCTATGAACAAATTATTTTATATTGCAAATCCTATTTCCATAATAATGAGAAAATATGCATAAGTTCTTGTAATATACGGCAAAGAGACGTGACGTGATCAGTTTTAAAATCTTGTTTAACTTGCACAACATTCGTTGACAGGCAATTCACGCTCGTGGTATCTAGAAATCGTGCACACGAACGCTAGATATGACCGCCCGACCATTTGATTTAATGCAAGGGTGGAACATTTCCTTCAATGAGCCGGCCACAGTATGGCGTACAGTACAGTATCGTTACCTAAGCGGCACCTGTTGCATGCCATGATTTTTCAGTCGGTGAATAATGAACACTAGCAGAGCACGTCCTGGTTGCTGAATGAAAGCGCTGCTCGAAACACGAGTCATTCGGGGCTTGTGAGCACAGTGATACAGCGGCTCTCCTGACCTTTGGCATTAACTATCGCCCGTTCACCGGGTCCCCGGCGTTGGACGGACGTAAAGCGCACTAAGGTCACCAATTAGAATGGACGGGGGTACTGATGTAGTGACGTCACTGCGCCATTGCTTGGAAGCATGTGCACAACATGCATGCTGAGGCTCCGCCCCAGCCGCTGTCCCAAACCTGAGCAAGTGTCACCCGTGCAGTGGCAGAACCCGAACTGTACCTGCGCCCGAACCCTAAACCGAACTCTACCTGTGCAAGCTTAACAGCGGATGAGGCGCGGCGATCTCCCGAAGGGGGGGTACCGAGTCAAGCAACTGCCGAAATGTGGTTAGTGGCGATCTTCCTGCCGGGCTGCGCCGTTTGCCTATCCAGCAGCTTCTTTGATCTGCAGGTGAACGTCACGTACACCAACGCCGCCTTCTCCTCACACGAAGCCGCAAATAGGCAGCAGTGCGCCACGCGCTGCGACCGTCTGGAGCCCGAATACTGCGACGGCTTCCGGTACGGGCCGCGGGGCCGCTGCGAGCTGCTGGTGGACCCCCACCACTGTCTGCAAACCGCCGCACCGCCGCCAGGGCTGGAACAGAGCGCCTACTCCCGGCGGGCGACGCGGGTCACGACCTTATGCGCCCCTGGCTGGATCACCTTCAACGGCGGCTGCTACTACAGAAGCACGTCGCAAAACAGCCGCGGTGCGACAAACAAAGTCTGCCGGGATCTGAATCCGTGCTCTAGAGTAACCTCCGTCAACAGTAAGCTGGAAATGACCTTTCTACTGCACCACTCCAGCCGCCCCAATGCCCCTGAGTGGATCGGACCACGTGACTTACCTCCCTGGAGCAACCCGGACGGCACGCCATTTCTGAGCTCCCTTCCAAAAACAGTGGCGACATCCCAAGGCACATGCTTGTATATGCAGGGCCAGTATGTCACAACGGCGCTCACTCAGAGCTCGTGCGGCCCCGAGCTCCGCGCGGTGTGTGAGGCCCCCCAGTCGGCGCGTCTGCCGCGCGGCTGTCCCCCCACCTGGCTGGAGATTGACACCTACTGCTACCTGGCGGTGTCGCAGGCGCTGACCTTCCACCAGGCGGACCAGCACTGCGGCCAGCTGGCGGGTGGCGCCAGACTGGGCCACCCGCATGGGCCGGGCGTCCACACCATCCTGGAAGCCTACGCTTCGCAAGTGGGCATCTCAGGCAACTTCTGGGTGGGCGTCCGCGATGAGGCTTCTGAGGGCACCTGGCAGTCTATGGACGGGTCGGCTTGGCACTTCGCCTGGAGCCCTGTGCACTACCAGCCGAACGGAGGCACCAGTGAGAACTGCGTCACACTGGATGCCGAGCTGGGTGGTGCACATGATTTTTATTGTGGAGAGTCATTCCCTTTCGTATGCCGCCAGCCTACAGCAAGCTAAAGGACGGATAGGGCCCCATACAAGCAGCCTCACTCTTGTTCCGGATCCAGACCGCCAGATGACCCATCGGACCCGGCAGTGACTAACCCGCAGTCGCACTGCGGCACTCCGTGCGCCTCACCGCCGGCCCGAGCGCCCCATTGAGGTCATGCGAGGTCACTGGTCGTCGTACAGTGTGGCCCCGCGAGGCCACTGATCGCTGTACAGTGTGGCCCCGTTATCCTGCAGGTCACGATCACACGCTCCATGCACGTCACTCGGCTGATTGCTCGGGAGTCGGTGACGCCTGCTCCTCCGTGGTTGGCCACTGTTTGGTGTTGCTCGCCGCGCTGCGCCAGGACCGCCAACCCCTTCCGCTGAGTCACACCTTAATTAACGTCACGTCGCGCCTGCAGCGAGGTCACGACTCCGAGATGTGTCGTCTCTTAGTTCTACCGCAGTCTGCGACAACAGGCAATGTTTCGGCCCGCCGTCTCTCCATCAGTCTCACCCGTGTGCAGTGTGTGCTGCCAACGACGGCCCGTCAGACGTCAATAGCGGACCTGATTTGTGAACACTGAACTCACTGATGACGACGTCAATACATCAATATTGTCGCCCTGAATCCATTGTCGTAGGTTTTGAGAAGAAATTTGGGCCCTATGTGCGATAAAAGTGAGCTAAATCGCCAGCAACTGAGCATGTTGAATGCACGCTTCTGACTGGTTGTTACGGTCGTGAAGCAACATGTCCGTAATGGCCGATCATTAGGGCTCGTTGGCGGCACCATTTGTGTTTCGCAGCGTCGTTGGCCTGGCACGCGATATGCGGCTATGTACCGGCAGGTT